TTATTGATTATTTTTACTTAATAAAAACAATTTAATTATTATTTAGATAATATATTAAATTTTTATTTAAAATTTATATTTTAAAAATTAAAAAAATCAAATTACGTCTACTCAAAATAAAGAAAGTGAGTACTAAGAAGACAAAGAATTAATTAATGTTAAGAGTTCTCACCAAACATTTTTTTAGTTATACACTCTTTAAGGATGTAGAAGCCGCGGTCTCCTTCCAGATACTCTAGTGGAGTCTTACGGTACAGATAGCGTGTCAGGTCCTCCCGAATTGTGCTGCAGGCCAATTCAACCGGGATCTTTTCATAGTCGTCTGAGATGGTGAGCAATTTTTTGTTCATTCTAACTAAACTTTTTGCAATTGATTTCCCGACTCCGTAACGAGCAGCAATGGAAAGAGCCGTGCTCCCATAATCATCTTTTGTTTCCAAGTCTTTTTCAGACAACTTGTACCTGATCAAGTAATCAACAATTATGCTCTTCTCATTATAAACTGCAAAATGAAGAGCTGTGTACCCATTTTCAAATATTCTTGCAGATTTTGGATTCAAATTTTCTCCAAAGAACTTCTGTAATTGCCCAAGGTCCCCATTGGAAATGGCATCAGTTAAGGTCTTATATTGCGGATCTGCGAGATTTCCAGGCCCTGCATGCCAATGACAGTTGTATCCACAGTAAAATCAACACTCTCACCAATTCTTCTTTGTATTTTAAAGATTAAAATAAATATTACAAATAAATTTGTTAACCATCAAATCTGAACCTACACCTCAAAAAACTCAAACCGGATTGCAATCTCTCCATTTAACAGATGCGAAAACGAAAAAGAAATTAAAGCAGAGATGGAATAGAATAAAACCTTTTCGTGGGGGGGGCTCAACAATGACCTCAACTGGGGGTGCATGCGTAGCAGCCAAAGCATCCCAAACATCTCTAGCAGAAGTTCCGGGCTTAAACAACCTTACGTGGCCCAATGAAAGGGGGAGTGACGGCCGGAGAGTGCGGGAGGCGAGTGCCCCTAGCACTGCTCTATATATAGTCATCAATAAGGATTTCGAGCGATCTGATATATGTATCGTAAGAATCAAGATCAAATATAAAAAGTATATAGTTAAAAGAAAAGATTATTTATTTTGTAATTTAAAATATATAAAATTATTAAATAAGATAATTAAAAATGTAATTTTTATTTAATAATCTTTATTATGCAATCT